AACATTTATTATATATAAATCAGGGCATTGTGATCTGGTAGCAGTTAATTTAATAAATCTCTGAGTGTGTCGATATCTTGCGTGGCTCCAGCTTGAAATGCAAAGATCAACTTTTCTGCCCTGACTTGGTCAAGGTCAATAATGCAATCAATATACTAGTCGCTCACACTACGTAGATGGAATTGTTAAGGTGCTGAACCAGTTCTGAAAAAAAAAATTTTGATACTAAAAGTTTAGTATAATTGATTTACAAAATTCACATGGCAGTCCAAAATAATCAAATTTTCAGAATATGTATCAATAGAGATTCTATGTATCCTCTCTATCCATATTTTCTACATCATTTTCTCTGAAACAGTGAATAAGATGCCAGCAATGAGAGTAAAATAGCACCAGATATTCAGTAAGCTGAAGAGATCAAAATATGTCTACGTCTGAAAATCTGTCTGACATACCCTCATACTTAGGCACATGTAGTGTTAGTAACTACAGTAGATGTAAACCTCAGCTCAGGATGTGGTGAGCGTGTGAGCTGGGGAGAGGGTAGAGGTAGGTTGGGCAGAATGGAAAATGCTAACTTTTGCCAGTTGACAACTGAGGCTCATTGTTCTCTAGATTGAGAATAAAAGATGACTTATTCTACTAAATAAGCAAAGGAATCTGTTCTTTTGTTTGTTGATTTGACATTTTTCACTGCCTATTGAACAAAATTTGTATTCCCATATTCAATATGATCTCTACATAGAATTTCCAGGAAGTCAAGTATAATAACTCTAAATTAGAAGTCAGAAGAATTGGATTCATATCCTAACTTTTTTTCTTAAAATACCATACGAGCTGGGGCAAGAAATATAACCTCATAATCTTAGTTCCTTCATCTGTAAAATGAATAGCTTAGATTAAACGTATTTCAAGGACCCCACCAGCTCTAAAATTCTCTGAATCACTTAGCAAGATAAAGCAATGAACTAATTTAATTATGGTCTTTCAGCATAACTAGGCTGCTATAATCAGAAGGGCTCTCCTGAAACACATTATTTTTCTCCACTTCTGGCTTGAATATATTATGTTTTCTATCATAATGGTATAATGGATAGCCCAGAATGCCTTCAGTCAAGTAGATGCAAATTCCCCACAGCATACAGTCCTCTTGATTAAAATAACAGTTTATTACGGATGGAGTAGCTCCAAAACACAATAATGCTCTTCAGGTAGCAGGTGTTCCTGTATTTTTTCAAATGACTAACTGAAAAGATGCAAAGGTGTTTTGTTTCCTGATGAATAAACAGAGGTATACCCATGACAACAAAATGTCAGACACAGGTAAATTAAAATATTCTCCTCAAATTCTTTATAGTGTATTAAAATCTACATATTATCCATCATTAATTAACCCCATAAGAAAACAAGTGAGTGGAAATATGAATAAAATTAAATATATTTATAAAAACAAGTTAACTTTTATGCTGTAGAACTCTTACTCTACTCCTAGGCATGTGCTTTTTTGTTTTAAATCTTAGATGATCTGAAAAGCAATATATTTAAATTTGATGAGAATGTATCAAATTTAAATAAGTTAAAAGGTAGGTTAAAATGATCAATGTTATCAAGAATAAGTGTACTATTAAAAATGAATTATTACTAAATTCAGAAAAAGATATGGCCTATGGATTTTAATTTAGATTATCAACATCCAATCTTCCTCCATAGAAAGAAAACAGATTGTATGGTATAACATTCTAATCTTGATATTTATAATCCCTGAGTTCAACTCTTAGCTCATCTAGTAACTTATAACCTTGGACTTACTATTTAGCCTATCTGAGTCTTCGGTGAGGAAGGCAGTGCAGAGATCACCAGTTCCCATGGAAATCCCATTCTCAAAGTGGCTTGGCCCAAGCAGTGAGTGTTAGGTAACACTCCTTCTACTTGACAAACTCAATAATCTCACAATAAAACTAGCTGTATTTTTTAAAGTTGTTATTGCTCTTGAAAAATTTTAGCCACTTCATTTTATCGTGGTTATTTTTTTACATTAATAACCAAAGCAAACTTCAAAGGAAAGAAAAATATTAAGGTTAATTTCTCAACAAAATACTTCTATCTTCTTGTAATTCACGTATCACTTTAATACCCAAAGGTTACATTTGTTTCAATTACACCTGTTTAGTTAAAAGTAGTTCTCATATCACTAAAAGCAAGAAACATAAAAGTAATATATACATTATGTAAAAGAATACTGCTCTTTACTAAATATTCCCTAAAGCAATAGATTTTCTTTGTTGGTATTTTCCTGAATTAACTCCTTTATGAAAGGAGTAGTTTGACAATTACACATATCCATTTTAAGAACTATTATTCATTTTGTTTTCCTAAAAAATAAAATGATTCTATGCAATGAATTTGGATCTCAGTAAAATAAAATCTCCATCTCATTAGGAGAGCAAAACATGCACTATTATCAGTGAGGGACACTTGGGGATGGTGAGGGATGAACAAGTAAGTTTTGGATTTAAATATACCTGAATTCCAACCCCCAGTCTGTTACTGACTGGCTAGGTAGCCTGGGGATGGTTATGTTATTTCTATGAGACTCCTTTGTTCCCTGCTGTAGTAAAATTGGGGCTCACATTATTTAATTCAGAGGGTTGTGCCAAGAATGACATGAAATAATACGTGTTGATGTTCAACAAATGGTATGTGGTTGTTTTTCAATAAATGTATCTATTATTGTGTGTTACTGTGGTTGTGCTCTGCAATCAATACTACCCTTTAAAACTATATTATTATTAAACTAGAGGCCTGGTGCATGAATTCATGAACAATTGGAGTTCCTCCTGGCCAATTGGGGCCATCTCACCCAGTTCTGATCGGGGTTGAGCAAGGCTGGCTGGCCAGCTGCGGGGAGGGACGGCAGGAGGTTGGCCGGCCATGGAAGGTTGGCTGTGGGAGCGCACTGACCACTAGGGGGCAGCTCCTGTGCTGAGTGTCTGCCCCCTGGTGGTCAGTGCACATCATAGCTACCGGCCGGTCATCGGTCGTCTACTTGTAAAGGTTGCTTAGGCTTTTACATATATAGATTATTGTTCAATAGTAATGTGACTTGCATCTGATTGCATGTGTGTATTTCAGATTTGATAAAAAATTCTCAGATATGACCCAAATGTTGTGCATATAATGCCGAACAGCCATTCCTTTGTCCCTAACAAGGATTGTCCTGAGCGTGGCAGTGGCTCTGGGAGGGCACCACTCTTCCTGCAGTGCCTTCACTCATCAGCCCCTTCTCTGAATAGCTGGGATGGGCACATAGAGACTAAACCCTCGAGGCCTTGCTCTTAGGATTTGATAGTCTCTCTGTTGAAACAGAATAAATATAAATGAATAGCCAGGGAGCAGGAAGAACTTCTAGAACTCTGAGGGACACTCAGTTTAAAAGATGGGAAGAAAAGAGAAAAAAATGAAAGCAGATTCCCTGCCGCTCTTGTTTACCAACTGGCTGGGATGCTTTCAGACTAATGAACAGGGTTCAGTCCAGCCTGGTTCTGCAGAGAGAAGCCTAAGACGATCTTTGTAATGATGACCAAAACTATGTATCATATTAACTAGCAAAATAAAATGATTACCCTAAAATTCATGAAAGAATCAATACATGCTATAAACTTTTTCTCTCCTTTGTAATTAATGTCACTAAATGAGAATAGACATATATTTTTAAATAAGTGTTTTTAATATGTTAGGTAGTCAGTTTTTTAAAATGTTGTTAAATGTCTATGGGTATGTAGGAGTTCAACATGACTCATTAGGAAGATGTATCTCCAAATAGTTTAATTGTACATTTTATAGTAATATAAAGTGTGTGTCTATACTATAAGAGACCTGAAATGCAAACATGAGTGGAACAAATAATTAAAGCAGAGTCTGCAGAGCTGAACCAATCCCTCTGCATGGTACACATCACATAACTATCACATTCAACAGATACTAGAAAAACACCCCTGTGAGAACTGCAAGCATTATATGTTAGTAAGTCTTCGAATTTAAATATAAGCATAAATCACTGCAGTATTTGCTGCATGTATTCTATTAGGCTGGCTTTCCTGCATTATTAGAGCAGAGCCCTAAATTACAAAGTTAGCTCAGGTTTCAGATAAAACATGGACTGTGCAGACAAGTGAGCCCGGTTTCCTAGTCAGGCATTTCCAGGAGGGTCAGGGCACTTCACCAAAGCTCCTGGGCAATGAAGCAGCAGTAGCCTCAAGAGCATGATTTTAAAGTCAGCTTTCTTAAAATTCTAACTAGATTCTTGAAATGAACAACACACACACACACACACACACACACACACACACACACACCTCCTTTTTGCTGCTGTTTGAACTTGCCAAAGAGTAAGGTATATGAACCAAGTCTCATTAATATTAATATATACTTTGTTATTTTGCTCTCCGAACACTATCACATTATTATACTAAATTAAAACCCTGACAGAAACATCCAATTAATCCTTAGGAGTAAAATGCATTATTGTGTCGTAGTTAATAAGCAGTTCAAAGTAATCATACCTTGATCACTCTCCTGAGCAGTGCAGTTCTTTGCACCGTGTGCTTAGAAACCAGAATATCTAATATCAGTTCCTTTAATGATCACTCACATATGAGTTAAAAAGGATAGTCACTCTCCTTTCAGATGTACAAATACTGTACTTTCTTTTACTAAGAAAGATAGGAGTGGAAATATCTAAGTAGAAAAAAAAACTTACCTGTCTTAGATTGATAACATAAAAAGTGTCTCTGGGATTCAATTATAATCATAGGGGATGATGTTGAGCTCAAAGATGGTGTGTAGGCCCAGCTTACTGAACTCGACCATTTGAACCACAGTAGCAGCTAAAGGAGGCTTTCTCTGGCCCTGTTAGCAGGTTGTAATTAAAACCTTTTTGGCCCTGTGCTATTTATAGGAAACGTCACTAAACTCAGAAGCATCATGGGCAAAGATCCTACCTTGATGAGAATCTGAATGGACCCTGTGGCTTTTGCAGATATAAAATACCAGAAGCTCATGGTGCATGCAGCACTGGATTCTTGCCACACACCACTCTTGAGGTGTGCTTCTTCACCCTGAAGGCCCACCGGAGTAGCCTCCAGATACAAAAAGTGCCCTAGGAACAAAGACAGGAATCAGACAGGATAAAATAGCAATGAGGGAATTATTTTAGCTTTTCCATCTTTGAGTTATTTATAAATTAAAATGTACTTGACATGAATGGCCAATAGACACATAAAAAGAGGCTCATCACTAATTATCAGGGAAATGCAAATCAAACCATAATGAGATATCACCTCACACCTATCAGAGTGGCTATTATGAAAAAGATAAGAGATAACAAGAGTTGGTGAGGATTTTGGAGAAAAGAAAACCCTCATGGACTGTTGGTGGAAATGTAAATTGGTGCAGCCACTATGGAAAACAGTATGGAAGTTCCTCAAAAGATTAAAAATTGAGCTACCATATAATCCTGGGTGTTTATCTAAAGAAAATGAAAATAGTAATTCAAAAGGTAAATGCACCCCTATGCTTATTGCAGCATTATTGACAATAGCCAAGATATGGAAGCAACCTAGGTGCCCATAGATGGATGAATGGTTAGAGTTTTTAATTATATTTCATATGATCTGAGCTGCCAAACAAAAGGGAAATCTAAGAGGCTTGCCTCTAACTCACTGACAGAACAATTTCCAACTGTACGCTTTCAGCAAAGTATTTTACTGTATGCAGATTAACTCATCTGACAAGAAATTTACGCTGTTGCATCAACAAGATAGCTATAGAAATCATTTAACGAACCCAAAAAAACTTACCTATCTTAGACAGATTGATAACATAAAAAGTGTCTCTGGGATTCAATCATAATCATAGGGGATAATGTTGAGCTCAAAGCTGGTGTGTAGGCCCAGCTTACTGAACTCTATAGACCATTTGAACCACAGTAGCAGCTAAAGGGGGCTTTCTCCGGCCCTGTTAGCAGAGTTGTAATTAAAAGACTATCCAGTTATTGAAAAACAATGCAAAAATTACCTATGAGATATAAATAAAGGAACTTTCAAAACTGCAGTCATCAGTAGAGTACATAAATGAAACACTGAGAATTTTAATAGGCAACACAACAGGAAAAATGTTGAGTTTTATATTTGTGTATCCAAATATCCCAAACATTGTATGTATGTAGAGCTCAGTGTTTGGGTGGAACTTAGACCTTCCATTTTCTGGTTTGGTCAGGCTGTCTTGGAAAGCTTTGTTTTTTCATAGGCCTGTGGAATTTCAATATTTAGACTTTTTTTTTTCTACACTGTAGCACCCAGGAATTTAGGGCCCCTTCTTGCTAATGTCCTTGTGTATCCAAATATCCCAAACATTGTATGTATGTAGAGCTCAGTGTTTGGGTGGAACTTAGACCTTCCATTTTCTGGTTTGGTCAGGCTGTCTTGGAAAGCTTTGTTTTTTCATAGGCCTGTGGAATTTCAATATTTAGACTTTTTTTTTCTACACTGTAGCACCCAGGAATTTAGGGCCCCTTCTTGCTAATGTCCTATATCCTTTCACCAGTATATCTGAGACTTGCCTTCAGCTCTTCATTGTAAAAATGGCAATCCCCAACACCTTTAACATATGAATCTTATAGTGACGTCTGCACCTCTACAGCTTTCACTCTGCTTTCCCTGCATGCACATCACCTCATTTGATCTGTACAACCCATTTGGCACACAGGGCTAATTGTAATATCACCCTTTGGGAGATGAGGATTTTGAGAATCTGAACAGATGAAATGAGTGGCAGAATTCAGAGTGTGTCCTTTAGGAAATCTACCTTATGGCAGCATACATTATCATCTATCTACACTTATCAACATGAGATTAGATTTTGAATACTCACTGTTATGGGTGAATTGTGTTCCCTAACAGATTTTGAAGTCCTATCTGCAGTCTCTATAAATGTGATCATATTTGGAAATAGGGTCTTGTCAATGATCAGGTTAAAATAAGGTCATTAGAGTGGACCATGATTCACTATGTCTGTTTCCTAAAAAAGGGAGGAGGAAATTTGGACACAGAGGCAGATATGCATGGAGGGAATACAATGTGAAGACACAAGGAGAATAGCTTCTGCAAGCCAAGAAATGTGAGGTTACCATAGGTTGGGAGAGTGGCATGGAACAGATACTTCTCCCTTAGGGGCTCTCAAATTCAGTCCCGCTGAAACCTGGTTTCAGAATTTTAGCCTCCCAAACTGAGAGAATAAATGTTTGTTGTGTATACTAATAAATGTTTGCTATTTATACTATCCAGTTGGTGGCACTGTGTTATAGCAGTCCTTGGAGACAAATACACTCATTAAATGTTTGACTTACTTGCTGTGGCACCATGGTGGTCTCTTCAGAGCACTCCAGTTGCTGTCAGGGAAGATAAAGTGATGCTCATTGTGAATATGATTAGAGTGACTATACCAACCTAACAACCTACCATTTTCATTTCCAAGTGTGTGGTCTTTGGGGGGTCTTAGGCTTTGATGAGAGCCAACTCCCAAAACCCAGTCAAAGTTTTCAGCCAGGGAGTTTTGCCAGCCACACCAGCCTTGTTCAAAAGTACAGGAGCTCCCACATTCATTTTCATCAGTGGAATCTCCACAGTCATCTACAAAATTACAGCTTTGCTCTGGTTTATAACATTGGCCATTCTGACATTCCCGATAGCCATGTGGGCAGTAACCTAAAACATAGAAAACAAAAGAAAACAAAAAATTATGAAGAAGTTAAAAGGTAGTAATGACATTCCCGATAGCCATGTGGGCAGTAACCTAAAACACAAAAAACAAAAAAATTATGAAGAAGTTAAAAGGTAGTAAAGGTGGATTCACTTTAATATATAAAGAAATATGGTGTTCTTAGGAGTTTGAGTTATCTGACCCCTATCTCTCTGTCAATTCTCCCCAGGGTCCCGGCCTATAGATCACTCACAAGGATCATTCAAAATGAAAAAGAAAAAAAGAAATATAATTTTATTGATCTAGAAAAGTACCTCAAGTCTTCTCAAATACAGCATTTCTTATAAGCAATATTTGAGGATGTATATTACATCTACTAGTAAAAACCAAAGTGAGCTTCCCATTTTTTAAGCTGAAACAAAATCTTTAGGGTTCTAAGAGGTTATATATTACTAGAAGCTCGTTGCACGAAGATTCATACAATAGGCCTTCCTTCCCCTGGCTGCTGGCACTGGTTGGTGTCAGTCTTCAGTCTTCAGTCTTCACTCCGGCTGGAGCCTTCAGTCTTTGTTCCGCGCCTGTGTATGTAAATTAACTGCCAACTTTGTTGGGTTAATTTGCATAGTCACTCTGATTGGCTGGTGGGTGTAGCGGAGTGACACCAATTTGCATGTTTCTCTTTTATTAGTGTAGATGGCACATTTGGAAGTACATTCCATTAGTATCCATGCACTTCAACATTTATCAGAAGCCAAGCATATACAATTTGCATGTTTCTCTTTTATTAGTGTAGATGGTGCATTTGGAAGTACATTCCATTAGTATCCATGCACTCCAACATTTATCAGAAGCCAAGCATATGTATGATAATTCCTTCAAGCAGGGGCAAGAATATAAAGGTAATACCAAACTATCCAATAGCTTTTTCTCCACAATGCATATTTATCTGCCAATTGTTTGGAATTTTAGAAGTAACTTCCCTTTAAAGCAAGGTCATCCATAAAGATTTTTTCATAAAGCTTAAGATAAAGAGTAATACTTTTGAAGATCTGAGTTTGAACTATGATTCTTACACTTATCATTTACGTGATTTGATGAGCTTTTAGTTTTCCTATTTAAAAAGAGAAAAAAATAATAATAAATGTAGATAAGTTAAACTAATTAAAAAACCTACCGTTTATGTCACTAGCATCTAGAACAGTGCCTGGCCCTTATTAGGTGATCAGCAAATATAAGTCAAATAAATGAATAAGTAAAATAAAGTGCTTTAGAAATTATAAAGCAATTCAGTATGCTCATTGAAGGTATTATTATTATCCTGCTCCAATATTACAATATAACAATTGGTAACAATATTTCAGTAGGAAAGTTGCTTGGAGATCCAACTTGGGACATTAGCTTCACATTTGCTCTGTGATGCTGTAGTAGCAGAAATTTTCTTTCTGTCCATCTTTCCCATCTGCCTGGTAGAGGAACTGATAATTTCACACCTAGATGATAATTTCCATGGCCTGAGGCAAGTTGCCTGGTGGTGAGGACTGTGTGGGTTAGAGCTAGAAGGTGATTGAGAGATTTGTCCAAAGGTGTTTATTAGCAGGAAACTCTTGCTAATAAAATCTTATCTACCAAAAAACAAACAAACAACCCAATTAAAAATGGGCATAGGTCATAAATTGACAGTTCCACAAACAACAAACAACAAAAAGAATTGGTGAGGATATGGAGAAAAGGGAATCCTCATGCACTGTTGGTGGGAATGCAGACTGGTACAGTCAATGTGAAAAGCAGTGTGGAGATTCCTCAAAAAATTAAAAATGGAACTACCTTATGACCCTGAGATTCCACTTCTGGGGATATATCCAAAGAAACATGATATACTAATTCAAAAGAATATATGTACCCCTATGTTCACTACAGCATTATTTACAATAAGTAAGATTTGGAAGCAGCCAAGTGTCCATCAATAGATGAGTGAATAAAAAAGCTGTGGTACAGTTTACACAATAGAATACTACTCATCTGTACCAAAAAAACAAAACAAAAAGGAAATCTTACCCTTTGCAACGGCATGGTTAGCCCTGGAGAGTATTATGCTGAATGAAATAAGTCAGAGAAAGACAAGTACTAATGTACAAAACAAACTAACAAACAAAAATAGAAGCAGACTCATAGTGAAATAAGTCAGAGAAAGACAAGTACTAATCTACAAAACAAACTAACAAACAAAAATAGAAACAGACTCATAGATACAGAGAGCAGAATGACAGCTGTCAGAGCGGGGTGGTTGCAGGGCCAGGTGGAAAAGGTGAAGGGATTAAGCAAAAAACAAAAACAAAACACACACACACATACTAGTTCACACACACAACAAACCAACCTCATAGACACAGACAATAACACTGTGATTACCAGAGGGGAAGGAGGTGGGAGGAGGTAGAAGAGGGCAAAGGGGGAATAAATGGTGATGGAAGGAGATTTGACTTGGGGTGGTGAACACACAATACATTACACAGTTGATGTATTATAGAATTGTACATGCTGAAACCTATATAATTGTATCAACCAATGTCACTGTAATTAATTCAATAAAAAATAAAAATAATGAAATAATAAAATAAAATCTTATCTAGAAGCATTTAGTCCTGAATGAGTCTCACATTTAAGAAAAGTGATGAGTAAGAGGCAAGAAGTGGGAGGAGATGACTGGAATGCCATGTAGAAACCACTGGGGAGGAGACTGGTGTTCTGAAGGCTGCTAGCCATTTTGCACACTAATTGCTCCTGAACTGCGTGTTGCAGATTGCCTCATTAAATGGCCTTTAAAATTGCAAAGCCTTTGGACATAAGTTTCAACTGTGCATTATGCCCCTAACAAAACTTTCTTTTTGGGTTAACTGCTAATATTTCATTTTCTTGCAGTGTGGGTTTAAATGATTTTCACTTACATGCCCAGGTCAGTTTTATCAGATTAGGGGTAAGACAAAAGACTTCTAATGTTTGAATTACAGAGCTTGATTCTAATCATAAGCTTAAAGCATTTTTTGAGCTACATAGAAATGGAGATCATTTACATTAATCCTCACATTTATTTATAGATGAGAAAACTGAGGATTACAGACATTAAATGACTTGCTGATTTTTCTAGAGCAGAGATGCAATTTGAACCCAGGTCTAATGTCTAAAAAATTATTTTTTAAATCCATTGACTTGAAGAGAAAAGTAGTGATATAAGATCAACTATCATAACACATGAGATCACCCAGGAACAAAAGTGGTGGCACTGACTACCAGATGCATTATTTTCTCATGGGACTGCAGAAAACCTGAGAAATTACTAGATGGTTTCATTTTATTCAAGTTGGCATTGGTATTGATTCTGTCAATTCCAATTTGCTTGGGGAGTAAAAAACAAACTGCTCCTGAAAATACTTTCCTCCAAAGTGACTAAACCAAGCTAAAATCAAATTATTTTAAAGCAAATAAGAAAATAATTTGGACATCTTTCTAATTGGGAACACACTACAGATTGCAATCTATACATATAAAGAGGTAATATGCGAATTGTCTGCTACAGTGTCCCAGTAACGACCAATTTGCATATTGACAGACCAGCAGGTGCGTGTGCAGCAGAGGGTCTTGTGTGAGGCTCATTTCCCTGCCCCCAGCATCGGAGTCCTCTTTTTCTCCCAGGTGCATGTGCCCGACAAACACCCCGGTGACACTGCACCCCATCTGAGAGCACTCTGCCCGGGGACACCACCAACCTCCCCATGAGGTGGGGGGAGCCAAGGAGCAACACCTGCACAGCAGAAGGCAGTTCTTGGGGCGCAGTCCGCAGACACCAACCAGGGGGGTGCGTGCATTAGCGGTGACCCCTGGGAGGGATCGTGCACACAAATCAAGAGGGTGTGGACTCAACACCACGAAGGAAGGGCACAGGTGCGACAACAGAGAGTACACCGGAGACCCTCACACCACAGGGAAGCCCCCGCAGCTTTCTCCAGCCGTCCGTTCATTCATCTGCTTGGTCCAACCTGGACGGGGGGCTCGCATCCTCGGCAGAACGCCCTCCGAGGACAAGCCAAGCCTGACTGTGCCTGTGCAAGCACGCCTGTCACCTGCGAATTCTGGAGGGGAGCGGAGGGAGAGCCACTCGAGGCATGGAAGCAGGCACACCAGGGGGCGGTAAAGGCCTCCACATCCTCCCTCCCTTCAGCACTCAATGGGAGAAAAGCCTCGCAGGAGCATGAAGGCACATGTGTGTGCACGTAACACAGCAGTCCCCACGATGGACGCTGGCCCGGGCCAGCTGGACCCTCCCCCAACTTGGAGGGGGGAGGCATGGGCCACGGTAGGCAAGACACAGCTGTGTGTGATCGGGCCTAAACTGGCAGTTGGACATCCCCCAAGGGGTCCGCACAGGAGAGGGTACAGGTCAGGCTGAGGGACCCCCCCCTCCCCCGAGCATGAATTTTGTGCACCGGGCCTCTAGTATATTATATAATCAATATAGCTAATATTTTAGAATAATCAGAATGATTAAGTTTTACATTTCTAAACAAATAGTTGCATAATTTTAAAATACAATAATTCAAACATTACACAAGATTAATTTTGAATAGAAAGCCCTTTACACTAGTAAATAAAGTTTCACTGCAATAATGTATTCTACCCATAAAATAACATGCAACATTTTTCGACAAATATCAAGGGATATTATCAACTAACGCTATTCACCTATTTCCAAATTATTTTCCTTGCCTGTTGTTTTGTCCAAATAAATCAGCTATCCAAGAGTAGGGTGTACATCTTTCTTTAAGTGATTCTGAATTCAAAGCTCTTATGAAATTGTGCAACTTGGATTATTTGTTTAAATTAGGCAGTGGCCCTCTTGGTGGGCAGTTTAGTTTTGTAAAAAATAAAATATATGGGATATAAAGCAAAAAGGAGCAAACAAAACAAAAACAAACTTGTAGATGCAGACAACAGAATGTTGGTTACCAGA